TTTTGTTCTCCAGCCTGTCACCTGGTAGTCTGACTACTTTCACACCTACAGTTTAAAAAATATGTAGAAAGATCTTTATATCCTATATCTCTATAACCAAAGGATTGCTACATGCATCATGGATTTGCAATGGACTAGAATTACTAGTAGTGTTTTGACAGATAGTTCTTCATTATCAACAAAAAAGTAAATAGGTTATGTTGAGATATTAATAAAAATGTATATATAAATTATACAGTATCAGTTCATCATATGTTATACATCGTCATATATTACATCATACGTGATATAAATATTCTTTAAAACCTTGTATGTCCATGCTTTGTCTTTATCTTTCACCCACTTTGCTTTTTGTTTTCTTAAAGCAGGATAAACCCGTATTTAATTTTGAACCAGAATTCATTCTGTCAAGATAAATTGTGAAATAGAGGTACGTTTTCCTTTTTTTTTTTTTTTTCCACTTTTGCACTTAATTTACAATGTTATTTGATTAAAACTAGAGCTTTAATTCCATCAGTGTTGTGATGAGTTGGTCTATTTCACTTCTGCTATTACCCCTGCTGGATTTTTGGAGACCGTTTGCAAAAATTTCCTACAGGCTTTATGGAAAATTAGAGTGATTAAGCTTTGACATCATTTTCTTTAGTAAGTTCCTTTTTTAGAGTTTCTTTTAAACCACATGACCACATTTCTAATACTAAAGAAATTCTGAATATTACTTTAAACGTTGTTTTAAACTGCCTCTTCTATTTACTTTAATTGAAATGCGTGAAATTTTCATCAGAAAGTTCTTGGTACACCGGCTCAGTATTGAGGTACCTTGTTTTCCGTTTGGCTGATGCCGACGAGGAAGATTAAGTCGGCAATGAAGAGGCTGATGCAGAGGTGCAGGTGGATGGTGGTGCGGGTGCTTTGGATGGAGCGGACAAGCCAGAAGGTCAGTATGCAGATGAGGAGGCAGATTAGAGACAGGGAGAGTCCAAACCAGGTGATCAGCTGAAGTTCAAACACATTCTATGCCAAGGACATAGATAGAAAATGAAGAAAAAAAAAAAACATCGATGCAGGTAAATATCGTTAAGATTCTTTATGATGACCAAACACCTTTTCCCATGGTTAAAATATTTTAAACCAAAATATGGCAGTTTCATTATTGCCTCATGTACAGAGCCACCCACCTCCAGCTCATAGAGAGCCATTAGCACAGCGAAGCTGCTGAGGTGTGAGCATGAGCAGATGGTGTAATTGGTGCTGGACTGGACCACACTGCAGCCTTGAGTAGACCACGCACCACCTTCCAGTGCCGAGTCCCAGAACACACAGGTTATGTTCCTCACTGCTTCCTGCCAGAGAAAAAGCAAGTCAGATAGTTAGATTTCAAAGGGATAGGTCATTTCATGGAGAAGGCGTGATTTACTAAAAGTTTGTGTGTATAATCACATGCAAACATGATAATTCCTAAAAAAATTTAAAAAAAAAGTGCAAGTTGCTTTAATGAATATGTTATTATGGATGATGAATATGGAGCATTTCTATCTAAACGTACGAAACACTGTGTCAAGGCAAATCGATTCATTTTGCTCATGTAGTGTGATTTGCAGAGGGGAAGTGGTAGCTCAGTGGCTAAGCTGTTGGACTTCAGATTGGAAGGTTGAGAGTTCAAATCCCAGCACGACCAAACTACCACTGCTGGGCCCTTGAGCAAGGCCCTTCACCCTCAACTGCTCAGTTGCATAAGAAAAAAAAGTGATTTTCCAAGCTTACTAACCCTGGAGCTTGGATAGGGTAATTAGTATGACTGAAGAGCATGTATTAAATTTGTAGAAGTAATTTTTATCCAGTTGAGGACAAAATAAAGTCTTAATAATTAGAAAGTTTTTCAAAATGATGCCTTAGTAAATAGCAAGTTTCCTAAAACGATTTTCCCAAAACGACTGTCATAAATTCCTCCTCTTGGAGCACAGCACATTTCCAAGCACGGCAAGCACCATTCTCATGTTGTTTTGTTTTGAGCTTTTTGTTTACTTTGCCATGTGCTGTTGTTTCTGGTCTATTCCTGTCTCCCCGATGTTTTGCCAATAGTTCATTAACCTAATGTGTTCACCTGTTCTGTGTTAAGCTAACTTGTCTATTTATGCCCTCTTGTTTCTGTCCTTTGCTTTGTTGTTCATTCTTGTATCATTAAGTTCTGAGCCCTGTTTTCATTTTTTTTTTAAATTCATGCCTGTTTTTTTTTTTTTTTTTTTTTTTTTT